CCCTAAAGAGATGGTCAGCCTCAGGCCCAACCACTCCTTGTGAAGTGGGCTATGACTAAGCAGATTTGTGCTTTTCCCTCACCTGCCCTCCATATTTGCTTCTTCAGAAAGCATTTGCACAATATAGCTGGTGAAAACTAGCACTGGCCAACGTAAGGTTTTTGTGTGTGCATGTGTGTGTGAATGCTGGGAGGGGACTCTAGCATTGCCATTTGATGTGTAAGAGAAGAAAGGTCTTAAAAAACCCAGAGTGTTCCCTGCACAGGCTTTCAAAGGGTGAGACGTCAAATGTTTTAGGAGCAGGGGACCCCCGTAGTCGAGAATAAGAGTTTGGATTTGATATCCCGCTTTATCACTACCCTAAGGAGTCTCAAAGTGGCTAACATTCTCCTTTCCCTTCCTTCCCCACAACAAACACTCTGTGAGGTGAGTGGGGCTGAGAAACTTCAGAGAAGTGTGACTAGCCCAAGGTCACCCAGCAGCTACATGTGGAGGAGCGGGGAAGCGAACCCGATTCACCAGATTACAAGTCTACCGCTCTTAACCACTATACCACACTGGCTCTCCTGTACAATCAGTGTTCCTGATCAAAGGGAGACTTTGAACCACCGCTCAGTGCTATAAAGAGAAGCACTGCATGAGGGAGCCACAGACACTCCTTCCCTGTTCTCAGTGCCCCTTGACTCCACATCAGTAGATGGTCAGCCCAATACTGAGCTACATGGATCCAGGATGTGGTAGATTTACACATACACTACATATCAGGCTGACTCCTGTTGCCCCCATATCCCACAGCTGGCTTGAAAGCAGTCACCCAGCAGACCAGGCCAACTTACCAGCTGAGTGAATACACATGAAAGTCAATGTTCAGAAAAAAACAACAGACTCACTTTTCATAGTAGGAACCAGGAGCTATGTGCTGGTTTCTGGCAAAGCAAAATGGCGAGCTGAGCATCAAACACACCGCCACAACAGACTGAAATGTTAGCACATGGCTCAGCGGTTTGTTTTTAAAAAGTGTGTCAAGGATCTCAGATTTAATTAACGTGAAGATAAGCTGCAGGGCTGGAGACCATTGGCTTCATACCTGCTTCCTTGTATTTTGCAATACAATTGCCCTTAGGTTGTATATCTATATCTTCTATGACTAAGTAACTGATCTTGGGATAAAGACGGAAGGTTTATGCTTCCAGACATGGAACAGCCATTTTCTTCATTTAAAACAGGAATATCATCCAGGTTTGTGGTGTAACAAGGTGTTAATGACTTGCACCACTGGAATTTATTTGTAATTTAATTTTGCCAACAACAACAAAAAAGTGTGAGGGAAAGAAAAGACAAGAGATTGCGTATAGCATATAAATAATATTTGTTTATACACAGAAGAGCATGAAGAAGAGAAAGAATCTGAATAGCAGAGATGGGATTATTTACGTCCAGCTGCTGGAACATCAACCTTAAAAGATGATTCATGGCCCTTGTGACACCAGAAAGCCTACTCCATAACCCATGTGGCAGAGTCAGAATTCCTCTGCTGACCTGGGATAGGCTCTGTGAGTCTCTGTGAGACATAAAAGGGTCTAACCCATAACCCTAATGCAGGTGGGGGTTGTTGTGTATTGAGTCAAAGGATTTTATATCTGTATTATTATTATTATTGTCTGTATTTGCATTAGGGTAAAGTAACTGTCTTTTTGTTCCAGAGGGTACAGCTACTATTGGTTCATTTAAGCTGCTGTATTTGGATCCTCTGTCTTATTGGTTTCCTCCAAAAGGCAGGACTGTGATTGCCTGATATTGTTCCCTCCAAAATGTATCCTTTCTAGCTAGTTCCCTGTCCCTATAAATGTAGCTCTTCTCTCCTCAGGTCTCAGTCTTGTTGCTTTAATAAAGAAGTGTTACTACAGAACTGACTCCAGCATATTATGTCAAGAGAGCTGAAATCACAAACCCCACGTCACAACAGGGGTATCATCGTACCCCAAATGCCTGAACAGGACCAATAAAATTAAGACCAATAAAAAGCATGTTTAGTGTGGAAGGCACTACACAGAGCCAAACTGCTTGTCAGGGAACCAAATTTGAAGGACAACGCCCCCGCCCTTCCACCAATAACCAACCCCTTAGCTGCCAAGTACCAAACCGCTTTAGAAAGATGTCTCTTCAGTTTTCCAGTCCTGTGAAGGACTAAGTGCACTTCTAAATATTTATACAGTAAACACTGCAAAAATAAATAAATCATTATATATATTTACATATCTTGTTTTTAACCTATCCATTAAGCTAGCATGTCAATGCACTCTAATGTACAATGCAGCTCTCCTGTAGTTCAGGAGAACTCAGGGAACTCAGTTATGCCTTGAGGCAACAAAATGACCAATGTTCTTGTTTCGCCATTTATATTTTATTCAAAAGGTTTCAATTCTAAAGAAATGAAGTCATGCAAAGAAAAAAAAAGAAAGAAAAGAAGAATTCAAAGGCACAAATTGTGCGGAAAGAAACGACGTACAAAATACGAAAAATACCCTAACCCACACATTCTCATATAAATTTCATATTATTATCCTAATACACTTGTAAATATTGATAGCCTGCTACATTTTGTATAAACTCATTCGAAATATTGTCATATTTATCCCGTCAAAGTCTACATCTGTAAGCTGTCCATTCATAAGTTGTGTGTGTTATCATATGGTCAATCCATTTATTAAAGGGGATCATATCTTTATTCTTCCAATTCATCAATATCAGTCTCTTGTCTACCGTTAGAATGCGTAGAATCCATTTTCATTGTCCTGTTGTTAAATTCCATACAATAGGTATATAGTTAAAAAGAATATTTTCCACTTAAAGTTTTAGCTTTTTGTGGACGGACAAAAGGACCAATGTTTGATGCAAAGTAAAATACAGAACATGCTGTTCTTGACTACTCTTTTCCTTTCCCTTTGCTCATAACCAAACCAGATGTAGTTCTTTCCAGTGGTGAAACTCATTCATGCGGGATGATACTCCTATCTTACAGGAGCAACTGATTATTCTGTGCATTGAAGCATGATCTGTTAGACTTTAACCTAAGATCAGTAAACAGAGACCGAAATACAACCAGAAGGTAACTGCGAAATAAGAGAAAGCAGGCATGGAAGAACTTGATCTCAGAATCCTCGTTGGCAATAAAATAAAAAAATCCAGAGTTGTTTTTGCTTACACTCTTCATTTATGTCCCCATGGTTGGGTTCCTTCAGACACAGTGGAAGATGTTGATAGTAGGTTGTGAACATGAAGTGAGCAATTGCCAAATTCAGTACTACTCAGTGTGATAATGTGTTAAGATAAAGGTAAAGGGACCCCTGACCGTTAGGTCCAGTCGTGGACGACTCTGGGGTTGTGGCACTCATCTCGCTTTATTGGCTGAGGGAGCCGGTGTACAGCTTCCGGGTCATGTGGCCAGCATGACTAAGCCGCTTCTGGCGAAACCAGAGCAGTGCATGGAAACACCATTTACCTTCCCGCTGGAGCGATACCTATTTATCTACTTGCACGTTGATGTGCTTTTGAACTCTAGGTTGGCGGGAGCTGGGACTGAGCAGCGGGAGCTCACCCCGCCGTGGGGATTTGAACCGCTGACCTGATCGGCAAGCCCTAGGCTCTGTGGTTTAACCCACTGCACCATCCATGCTTGCTAAATAGACCCCCCCCATATACTACTCCCCATGAGTTGCACTCCCTTGGGAAGATCAGATTCGCAGGTTGGGAAAACTCCTGGATCCAGACTCAGGTGGTCTTGGTGTCTTGGAGTGCCTAGTTCCAACTACAGTGGTACCTTGGTTTGCAACCGTTTTGGATTACAGCCGTTTTGGATTACAACCACGTCAAACCCTGAATTGTGTGTCCCTTTTTTTGGATTACAACCCATTTATTTTTGGGGGGGAGGCCCCATTGGCGAAAGTGCACCTTGGGTTACAACCTGTTTTGGTTTACAACCGGACCTCCGGAACGGATTATGGTTGTAAACCAAGGTATCACTGTATAGCTGCCATTGTTCTCTAGTAACTTCCATACTGGATTATTGCTACAAACACTTTACAAACACCCTTGAGATGACTTGCCCAAAATTCAGCGGCCAGATTGCTGCCTTGGGTTCCATCTAGAACTCGTATGATGCCTGCTCTAAAACAGTTACAGTGTTTGATTGTCATTTCTGGGCACGACTCAAGGTGCTCGCGTTATTGTTTGAAGGCCTAAATGACTTAGGTCCCACATATCTGAAAGCGCCAACTTGCACTGAAGAGTGAGGTGAAGAGTGAGTCATGTGTGCAGCATGAGATGTCACATGGCGTTCCGGGAGGAGTCAGGGATGAAGCCGAATACAATGGGTGGGGGCTCCTCCTCTCTTGCGCTTGGCAGCTCCATGCTCAGCCTCCTCCACTCACTGATGGCAAGGAACACTGGGGGATCCTCCCCCCAAAATTATGGAGCCCCCCCCAAAAATCAGCCCCTTGGAGTTGACAGCACATCTGAAAAACTGCCTCCTTCCCTTTGGATCCTCTCAGGTGTTAAGATCAGCATCGGGTGCCCTCTTGGCAGTTCCACAGCCCTCAGAAGTTCACAGGATGGCAGCCAGGGAGAGGGCATTCTCTGTGGTGGCCCCTAAATTGTGGAGTTCCCTCCCACAGATTGTGTCCCCCATGGAAGTGCATCTGACACCTTCATTATGTAGTTTTCTCATATGCTGAAAGCACACTTTACCCAGGTCTTTTGCACATGAGATATATATTTTACGCGATATATTTCAGGACCCACCCTATTTCCTTGATTGTCGTTTGCTTTAACTGATTTAATTATTGTATTTTTAAATGGTTGCAACCTGTCCTGGGGCCTCATGGTGAAGTGTGGATAGTGATAGCAACAACAAAAATAGCCACAGCAACTTTGACCATAATAGTAATCAATCACTTTATTGCACAGTATTGTACAAAAATATATGGTTTTCTGCAATAATTTATATTAAATATATCTATTTAATTTCTTGTTTTAAAAAATTGTATCCTGCTCAGTTTTAAATAAAATCCTCAAGTAGTTTACAAAAAAGTAAAGCAAACATTAAGACTGTAAATAAAGGCAGAGTTAAAAATTATATTTAAAATAATTTAAAATATAAAAATAAAATCATAGAATCATTGAATAGTTGCAATCTACCATAGGTTAAAAACAAATATATATTAGAACTTCCTTATTCAAAATGCAGCTTGTTCCATGGCTCATGAAACCGCAGGAGAGACCAAGTCATGCCAACAAAGATGGTGCCCAGTGAGCATTGCCTGATGCCCAGACCAAGAGAGATATCCTTCCTCTGGGCCTCATCACTTTTTCCTTTGTCTTGTGTCACTGGCACCCAAACCAGCTGTCACTCTTCTTAATGCTGAGGAATTTTTTGGTTTTGCTGTCAAACTCATATTGATTTGATCCACGGAATAGATAGAAATGTCCTAAAAAGAATAGGGAGTAAAAGTAAAAATTGTGAATCGAATGTATGAAGGAAACTCAAAAACCTACAAAATACCTCAGTGTGGAATGCTCTTAATCACTGTTCCATTACGTCAAGCACCCCTGCTCCCCCACAATGGTTCATTCCACACCCACCCACACCAGATATCCTATTCCTCAACTGCTGAAGTAAGCCACTGAGCATGCTGAGTCCTCATTGGTCTGTTCTGCACCCCCTCCCTCACATTTTCCTTTCTGCTTCTGCAAATCTATATGTTCTCTGAACAGAGCTGTGGCAGGGGGTAAGGTTTGTTCCATCTTATGGACCATGGCTATGGTAGCAGTCCTGAGATGCTCAGGTGGTTCAGCAACCTGCCACATTCACATCTGTGGTCAAGTCCTTCTATCTCACCATTACAACTATATGCAGTGGTACCTCGGGTTACAGACGCTACAGGTTACAGATTCCGCTAACCCAGAAATAGTACCTCGGGTTAAGAACTTTGCTTCAGGATGAGAACAGAAATTGTGCTATGGCCGTGCAGCGGCAGCAGGAGGCCCCATTAGCTAAAGTGGTGCTCCAGGTTAAGAACGGTTTCAGGTTAAGTACGGACCTCTGGAATGAATTACGTACTTAACCCGAGGTACCACTGTATGGTCATACTGGATTAGGGAGTTTGTTTAATGAAGATGGTTATCCACCTACCATGATGCAGAAAAGCAGCATTCACCTTGACTGCTATCTTTCTTGGGTAGCCTTTTTCCATGGACTTCTTGGCTTCATCATATCTAGAGAAATGAATGGGTTGAGAATTCATTGATTTAAAGAGCTTTTCAACGGACTTTCAGAATTGTCCCACATGAGCTAGGTAAGTTCCCCTCACTTCCAGTAACTGTTTCCAGAGAAGAAATATGTCTTCTTTGAGCTGCTGTCATGAGCAGCTGCATCAATGCTCTTAACACTTTTTGGAAGCCCCAGGCTGTGAATATTCTTGGGGAAACCGATCTGTATTGTATTTCCTTTGGTGGCCCAATACTTGCTTCCTGTTAAGCAAAAGACAGTAAAAAGGAAAAAACGGGGGGAAAGAGATTGAAAGAGCCTTTCATGAAGATGGAACAAACCTGAATGAGAAAGCCCAGGCCCTGCAGAGACAATTGCAGAGAGTGGCTGGGGAAACTCAGCCAGATGGGCGGGTATAAATAATAAATTATTATTATTATTATTATTATTATTATTATTATTATTATTAGGCAGGGACGTTCCTAATCCATCTTACTCCTTCTGCTCAGGGCAATGAGGATTTAGAAGCAATATCCTGCACATTGAGGGCACATGATGTGATCCCTTTGCTGCTGCTAAGCAAGTTGAGGTCTGGTCAGTGCCTTGATGGGGAACTACCTGGCAACCTTATTTAAAGAACCTTGAGTTCTATGAGGGAAGAAAAAATAGATAAAGGAAATAAAAAATCTGCTTGGATAGAGATAAGAGAATCTGTCCAGTTTCACACACACACACCCTTTGTAGCTTCAGTTCCCAGTTTTACACCACCACCACCAATAATAATAATAATAATAATAATAATAATAATAATAATAAAGTCTTTGTAGCTATACTGTGTGATTTATTGAACAGCTAGGATTTGGTCATTAACATTCTGTAACTCCAGCCTCTTGCACAGGTTGTTCTGCTTAATAGCAAGATGCCCTCCACTCCTTCCATCATTCTTAGTTCCTTTACTTGCTGTTCATTCACATTTGGAATATTTACCTTTGAAGAGAAATACTGTGTCATCAGCCTTAACTTCATACGCAGCATCTATGCCTTTGCTCAAAGCTGGCCAGAAGGCAGAAATTGGAAACTTTTCAACATCTCTTCTCTGGGGATACTTTCTCCAGAAAAAGCTGGGGAAGACAATATGAATGTTTACAGAAGAAAGGCTGTGGCTCCATGGTAGATCATCAGCTTTGCATGCAAGTGGGGCTGGAAAAGACCCTCCCCCAGTATAAAACCCAGGTGAGCAGTTGCTGGTCAATGTAGACAATGCATTGGTACCTCTTGTTAAGTACTTAATTTGTTCTGGAGGTCCATTCTTTACCTGAAACTGTTCTTAACCTGAAGCACCATTTTAGCTAATGGGGCCTCCTGCTGCCACCGTGCCACCAGAGCACGATTTCTGTTCTCATCCTGAAGCAAAGTTCTTAACCTGAGGTACTATTTCTGGGTTAGCGAAGTCTGTAACCTGAAGCGTATGTAACCTGAAACGCATGTAACCCGAGGTACCACTGTACTGAGCTACGTGGACCAATGGCTGGAATCAGTATAAGACAATTTCCTCTGTTTCCTTATTTTCACTGTATCAAAATTCTTCCTTGGTAATGTTTTGTGTATAAGGTTTAAATCCTACCTGTGGGCCTATTTATTTATTATGCATATTTTTAGCAGTCCCAGGGAAGGTTACCCACAACAAGCCATACAATGCTTATTATGACTAAGACAGCAATTAAAACTATTTTAAATAGGGGGGGAAAGACCAGCAAAGGAACAAGGAGCATCTAGAGATCATCTTCCAGCCTCAAGGACCTGGGTAAAAAAGGATGCATCTTGACCCACTGTAGAAAGAGAGCCAAAAATGGAGTCAAACACGCCATGGAAAGGAGAGCATTCAATAACCTGGGAGCCACCCTAGACAAAGCCATCTCCAGAACCACCACAAAAAACTACAGGATGCCTAGTCAATACTGACTAGTACTATTTGCAATTGTTCTTACCTTACGCACCAAGGAGGGCATGTTGAATGAATTTAATGAGCAGTATGTTGAGCTTAGTATGGATGGTTATTTTCATCGTAAGGGAAAAGTCCTTTCTCATTCATTGTGTTTGCAGAGTACTCTTTGAGTAGAAATGTTCTTGGAGGTGGGGCATGACTTTGAATTAGAACGTAAAAAGTTCAGAGTTTCGATATTATTTACCTGTCTTTAAAGAACAGGATTTCCCCTCGGAGAGAAGTGACAGCATCAAAAGCCAGGTGAGGGTCACACCATTTTGTGGACGGTGCCTCTGCTGTGGATGTGAGGTTAATTGATGAACCACTGGCTTCATTGTCATCCCCACCTTCAGAGGGTCCTTGAAAAAGAGGTAAAGAGAAGAACTGAAGAACAAGCAGGATTTGGAATAGGCAGTTCACAGGCATTGCAAGACACTTCATTTTAAGTTGCTTTAAACTTTTTAAAAAAAACTATCATGTAATATTGTGTTTTCTATTGATGTTGTGTATTAATTGTTGAAACCCATTTGGGGATTTTAGGGTGAAGGCCGGGTAATTAATAATAATAATAATAATAATAATAATAAGAAGAAGAAGAAGAAGAAGAAGAAGAAGTAATAATTTATTGGAAGACAGTGAAATACAACAATAGATGGAATAATAGATTGGCTCTGCAAATTCACATCAGGTGGTCTGGACGATCATTTGCTCCCCAAATAAGAAAGTTCACAGAAAGATTTTCAGTTGTTTTTCTCACCTACCCATTCCACAGCCGTGGTACCCCCTGAAAAATCTCTCTGGAGGGTTGACGGGGCATCCAAAATAAATGGAGCATAGGGGGTGTTCCTGCAGGGAGGGCTGGAATTCCCCTCAGATTCTAACTCTAGGGAGTTCATGGAAATAAAGTTTCCTGTTACTCTGTCCTACCTTGTTCTGAAGGTCGACCCAAACCCTCCAGAGAATCTATTTGAGTCTTCTCTGTGAACATTCTTAAGCTAACTGACCTTAGGATCCAAGCCAGTGCTCTTACATGGCCTCATTCCATATAATCATCTGGGAGTCTGTACTCACCATAAAGCTGCTGGATGCCCTCAATGTCATCCATGTGAAGACCAAAATTTTTAAGGTCTCTATTTCTGTAGGTTGGAAACATCAGAGCCTCTGGATTGCTGGAATGCCCGAGGCCCAGTACATGGCCAAACTCATGAGCAGCTACAAGAAAAAGGTTGGTGCCTATAAAGGAAACAGGAATGGGTTTAGCAAATCTAAAAAAATGTAGTATGAACACTGACAACTGGGATACACTGGCCTGCGAGCGCTCCAGTTGGAGAGCAGCCTTTACCAAAGGTGCCATGGGCTTTGAAGACACCCGAACTCAGGACACAAAGGAGAAACGTGCTAGGAGGAAGGCATGCTTGACAAATCCACACCGTGATCAACTCTCACCCGGAAACCTCAGCTATGAGTGATCGCCAAAGAAGAAGAAGAAGAAGATGGACAGCAACTCTTTGGGATTTCAGATGGGTCTTTGCAATCCCTTTCTGGAGATGCTGGGGATTCCACATGGAACCTTCTGTGTCAAACCATTTGAACTACATGCCAGTGTGGTGTAGTGGTTAAGAGTGATAGACTCGTAATCTGGGGAACCGGGTTCGTGTCTCCGCTCCTCCACATGCAGCTGCTGGGTGACCTTGGACTAGTCACACTTCTCTGAAGTCTCTCAGCCCCACTCACCTCACAGAGTGTTTGTGGTGGGGGAGGAAGGGAAAGGAGAATGTCAGCCGCTTTGAGACTCCCTAGGCTAGTGATAAAGCGGGATATCAAATCCAAACTACTACTCCTCCTCCTCTTCTTCTTCTTCTTCTTCTTCTTCTTCTTCTTCTTCTTCTTCTTCTAAAAAAAGAGCGCACTTGCCCTTTCGCCAGAAACAAGGAAGTGTAGTCTAATCTTATGAATAACCCAAGTGAGTTTACTAATACCATTTATGGATGTACAGAACAGTCCATAGGATGTACCAATGAACATTTTTTTTAAACGTTGACAAAAATGGTGCTTTTCATAATTAAATTTCATCAGCCACATTCCTATTCTTTGCAGTCAGAAGGGACTAGAAGATCACTCTCCTGATCATAAGTGGTCCTAGCAAACATGATCATTATCACTGATTTCATTATAGCAAAGACTGCTTTCAATGCAAGTCCTGATTATTTGTTTGTTAGGTTTGTATCTCACCAAACACTGCTCCAAGCAGCTCATAGAAAGAGTGCAAATACAAGAACCACAATCAAATAGACCAGGGATGTAACAGAGAGCAATATGATAGACAAGTGGAGTATAATAAATGAATGTCATGAACACAAGAAGTGTCCTATTGGATAAGAACCAAAGACCCACATCCTATGCTCCCAGTGGCGGGTTGGAAGGCAGAAAGGCCAAGAGTCAACGGATCTAGGGCCAATGGCAGGCAGAGTCAACTAATTCTAGGGTTGTCCCCATCCACCTCTCTGCTGAGTTCTACAAGGGCACTGAGATTAAGGAGCAGGAAGCTGAAAAGCAGGGGCGCCCACTGGCCTGGTTGTAAGTCAAAGGGAAGGCATGTTGACCCTGGAGGAGGCAGCCCTCCATTTTCCCTAATAGATCAGCTTCCAGATGTCTCTCAGAAGCCCCGAGTATGACTCAAGAGCAACGGTGCCTTTGGCACTTGTGATTCCCAGCAACTGCTATTAGAGCCATGAAGTTGGGATGCAACATAGTCATGAAGACTAGTAGCCACCAATCATCTAACGCCCATGAATTTGCCAGCCACACTGATGGCCATTGTGGCATCTTGCGGCAGCAAATTCTACAGCTGAGCTGTGTGAAAAAGACTTGCTTTGTGTGCCAGATAAACTTTAGCAACGCTGTAGAGCGATGCATGGAGAAATTAAAAATATATATATTTATGTGGATTAGTTTATATTTATTTCTTTTATTAACTGTCATCGGGAGGAACCTAGACCCCCAGTACCTCATGCATATTTTTGGCTTGGTTGTTTTACTAAACATGCTGCTATTATTTTCTGCCTTATACACATCATGACTATACTTTGCTTTGTACCTGGTGATCAACACTTGTTATTTGTTGTTCGTATTTTTTCATCTCATTCTTAATAACAATGATACTATTTTAAAACTCCAGAGTAAGTCCCCTGGGACATGAATGGTGCTGGGGTCTCAATGTTTGTAAGTAAAAGTAATTAAGCTGCCTTGACAGTCGTTACAAGCAAGTGAATAAAATATATTGAGACAAAACAATGAAAATACCTTTTAAATCCCGTGCCCAGGGTTCATTCTCATCAAAATGGACACTTCCGCCGAAGGCAGGTGAAAATGCATGAGCCAACTGCCCACCTGGTCCATCAAAGGGTATATTGTCACCATGAGCTTTTTAAAAAAACAAAGAACATATATATAAATCACCCAGCCAGGAACATGGGTAAACCTACTATCATTCCTTGCATGTGATTTACTTACATCTAGCAGCAAAAGAGATCTTGATATCTGCAGGTTTCCCATAAACCCTGGTGAAGGTCAGGGGAGTCACATCACTCCAAACTTTCCAAGCTCTCTCGATTGCAACATCTACGTCAGTGCGGTCCATGTCTGGCGTGTAATTCAGAACACTGTGAAACACACAGAAGGAGATGAAATGTACATTTGAAAGAATGTTCAGAGAGCTTTCAAAGTGTGTGTGCAAGATGAGACATCTCAGAGCATCTCCACATCCCTGCCCCTTGTATTTCTAAGTGCATTAAAATTATGCAATGATGACTAGAATTAAGCTCTGTGTTGCACAGGAAAATCAGTAATGGTAGACTAGCCAACTTTTAGGAAAGACCATTACTGAGCTGACAAAGGAACCCCAGCATTCCTATGAATACAAGTTGAAAACAGTAGCTTGCAAGTGGGACGCGGGTGGTGCTGTGGGTTAAACCACAGAGCCTAGGACTTGCCGATCAGAAGGTCGGCAGTTTGAATCCCCGCGACGGAGTGAGCTCCTGTTGCTCAGTCCCTGCTCCTGCCAACCTAGCAGTTCGAAAGCACATCAAAATGCAAGTAGATAAATAGGTACAGCTCCAGCGGGAGGTAAACGGCGTTTCCGTGCGCTTCTTTGGTTCGGCAGAAGCGGCTTAGTCATGCTGGCCACATGACCTGGAAAAACTGTCTGCAGACAAACGCCAGCTCCCTCGGCCAGTAAAGCGGGATGAGTGCTGCAACCCCAGAGTCGGTCACGACTGGACCTAACGGTCAGGGGTCCCTTTACCTTTACCTTTTTAGACTAGCCAACTTTTAGGAAAGACCATTACTGATCTGACAAAGGAATCCCAGCATTCCTATGAATACAAGTTGAAAACAGTGGCTTGCAAGTGGGATCTGTACTACCCAAAATCTTCAGTCTGGTGTGTCCCTGATCAGACTTCCAGACAGCCGGCCAGACATACCCTCTTTAAGATCATCCATTCCATTATCTCCCCAGACAGAAGTTTTCTTCCTCAGCCAGGAGCCAATAATAAGCATTATCAAGTTACATCCTCGATTCAGGCAAGTGTTTTGAAACTTTACCTATATGTCAGGTTTTTTCGTCCCCATTTTGGTGACTCGGGAAAGGTGCTGTATTCTGCTACATCAGGAACCCCACACCTGGGATTCTTCATTGCAGCCAAAGTGTGTGAATCCAATCTGCCCGTCACTCTCAGCCCAAAGTGTTTCTGCATTTGTTGTAACTTGTCAACAGGAATCTCATCACTCCTTTTGCTTCTTGCGACTGGCGTTGATGTGGAATCAGGATAGTAGTTTTCTATGTACGTCTGAAGGGGAAGAACAGATGCATTTGAGTGTTGCAGAATTATTTTCACATATAATATTTCACATTGTAGGATTTTGATCTTTCTACCTTTCCCCCCCCAGTGAGGAAGCTCATTTGTCTAATTGCACCAATTTTACAGACGTAAGAATTGAAGCTAACGGACATTAACAGTGAATCCTATGCACGTCTTCTCAGTTCAGTGGGATTTACTCCAAGATGTATGGATGTAGGGTTGCATGTAGGATTGCATTCTATTTTACCCAAACCCATTCAGCACACCTATGGAGGAGCAGAGGTTGGAATCTGCATTTTCCCAGTCTATAAGCATGCACAACATTACACTGAGTGCCACAAGGCAATTAGTGACTGACTACCTTTTCTGCTAGTGGAATTCTGCTACCATCGAACATTACCTTTGCAAAATTCAGGTCCGCTTCTCCAACTTGATCAGCTTCGTGGATTAGGGGCAAAGCACAAGAAAGTGCTCCATAGAGCGCAATCGTCAGTAGGAAACTTTTCATTGTCTCTTTCGCTTTTGCGTCCCAGTCTTAGAGTCCCAGAACTGTTCAGTCTCTCTGTCAATGGATGTGTCTATGTGCTCCCAATGGACCTCTATATATATCGGTACTTCATGGTTTTCTATAGAATTAACAGAAGCATGACTCACAACATTATAACATCTGTTGACTTGCCAAACACAGAAAATGTCCCTTTTAGCAAAGTGACACGCACAGAGTTTGTTAAGTTCAAAAGCCCTGATTTGGCCATTACCAAGAAAGTGACTTGGACATTTCCTCCAAATAATTAAATAATTAGAATGGCATCATTCTCAATTTATTCAACAGAGGTGGAGCCTAGTGTCCTTTTTAGCAGAGTGACACATGCTGCAGAGTCTGTTAAGTTCAAAAGCCCTAATTTGGCAATTCTAGACAATTTTACTAGGAAATCAGCAGAAATTGTTAGAATAATTCTGACATTGATCAGCACATCTAAGTCTGAGAAGTTTATCATTTTTGTTTATCATTTTTGGGTACAGAACAGTATTTGCCTTCTCCCACTACAACATAAGAAAAGAAATTTTGGGTCTCACAGGGCGCAGCTAAAATTTTAAAGCCCAAAGTCCACCTTTGCCCGGGGTTCTTTCCTTTGCAGAATTACACAGAAGTAGACCTATATTGCTGCTCTTCTGGGATTTTGTCAACAGCACAGGAGTAAACAATGCTCTCAAGTTTCAAACACTTACAATTTATGGCTTTCCCTCTGTACACACAAAAGATAAGCATAAATGCTTTACTGCAGGGAAGCAACCTACGGTAACTTAGATTCCTAGTTCATTCATCTGTTTATTTGAATACAGAAAATGAGTCTGTCGGTGGGTAAAACACCATGTCCAGCAGGAAACTTTGCAGTTGCCAAGAATGGACGATTTGGAATGATCCCTCCTAAAAACAGAAGCTGGGGGTGGGATGACCAAAAAAAAAGAAAGAAAAAAGATTTCTGTAGTAATTTTAATTGAAGAAAAACTCAACAGGGACAAATTCAGAGTCATAGTAAACTAGAAGAAAATGATGTAATGAAAGGATGCAGAAGTTTACTTTAATTTGTTAATGAATCACTACCTAGAAGATAGCCGAATGTGATTGAACAATGAAAACATAAAGAATAGAAACATATATGCACAAATGCTGATACCCAGCCTCAGCTGTTCATGTTATGTTGACCTCCCATCTGAATGACTGTATTGTGGGGCTGCTAGGTTGGTAAGTGGGGTAGTCATGTGTTGTCACTGGTCCGGAAAGCAAGGCCTTACCCCCACATGTGCCACTCTTGATCACTTTGATCGGCAGTAAAAGGTAAAGGGACCCCTGACCTTTAGGTCCAGTCGTGACCGACTCTGGGGTTGCGGCGCTCATCTTGCTTTATTGGCCGAGTGTACAGCTTCCGGGTCATGTGGCCAGCATGACTAAGCCACTTCTGGTGATCCAGAGCAGCGCATGGAAACACCGTTTACCTTCCCGCCGGAGCGGTACCTATTTATCTACTTGGACTGGTGTGCTTTCAAACTGCTAGGTTGGCAGGAGCTGGGACTGAGCAACGGGAGCTCACCCTGTTGCGGGGATTCGAACCACCGACCTTCTGATCAGCAAGTCCTAGGCTCTGTGGTTTAACCCACAGCGCCACCCGTGTCCCTCGATCGGCAGAGTTGGTGCCAAATAATACCCGTTCTGCATTGTAAGAGCTTGATCGCTTAGTGTCACAGTGCCTAGACTTTGGAACTCCCTGCTTATTGAGCTCAAGCAGGCACCTCTTTTCTCACCTCTTGAGGAAAATATTATGCTCTAAACAAGCCTAACCAGCTGCTTAGAAAGTTGACGTAGTTTTAATCCGTTTTTCCTAGCTGCTTATAGCTCAGTGGCAGAGCATCTGCTTGAAATGAAATTAATGAAATTTTATTATGAAAAACACCTTTTTCTCCAATGTAAAAATATGTCTAACTGGTAGCTGTTGGTACAGCCTATGGGCTGTTCTGTGTAATACATTTCATACATCCATAAATGGTATGGTCTCATGGGTTACTTCTTTAACTTAAAGACATTTCCTTTTTTTCTTGAAAAGAACATTTCCTCTTTTGGCAAAAAGATAAAGTGATGATTCAGGAAAAGCTCATCCACGACCCTACAGGGAAGGAGAAGTCACACAGTCAAATTAATATGAGGAATGTGGAGGACTAAATTTAAGATTAGGAATCTGAGTTAGTTTTGGATCCCATGAAGAGATTGAGGAGAGCCAGCACTGGCCATTGGGGCAGAACTCTTTCTGACACCTTCATTATGTAGTTTGTCTTTTGCTGAAGTCCCACCTTACCCTGACCCTTTACACATGGGATAAGTATTTTAGAATCCACCCTATTCTCACAAATGAAGTAATTTTAACTGATTTTCAAATTGTATTTTAAATAATTGTAACTTGCCCTAAGGATCTTCTTGATCCTTGCCCATCCTGGCTTATAAAGGCTAGCCGGGAAGGGCTGGGTGATGGGCTTCGCAGGGTGGTGAATGCTTCTTGAGAGCCAGTGTGGTGTAGTGGTTAAGAGCGTTAGACTCGTAATCTGGGGAACCGGGTTCGCGTCTCCGCTCCTCCACATGCAGCTGCTGGGTGACCTTGGGCCAGTCACACTTCTTTGAAGTCTCTCAGCCCCACTCACCTCACAGAGTGTTTGTTGTGGGGGAGGAAGGGAAAGGAGATTGTTAGCCACTTTGATACTCCTGAAGGGGAGTGAAAGGCGGGATATCAAATCCAAACTCCTCCTCCTCCTCCTCCTCCTCCTCCTCCTCCTCCTCCTCCTCTTCTTCTTCTCTCTCTGTGAGGGAGCCTTTCCAGACCCACTGGAAGAGGCGGTTATCAAACCGCTTCTTAAAAAACCACCTTTAGATGCTGCCAATATGTCCAACTATCGCCCAGTCTCAAATCTTCCATTATTGGGCAAGGCGATTGAGCGAGTGGTTGCTGAACAACTCCAGGCATGGTCGCACTGGTTGATGATCTCCGGCGGGCTAGGGACAAAGGTGAGAGCTGTTTCCTAGTTCTGCTGGATCTCTCAGCGGCTTTTGACACCATTGACCATAACATCCTTCTGGACCATCTAGAGGGGCTGGGAGCACTGTTATACAGTGGTTCTGCTCCTTCCTCCTGGGCCGTGTTTAGAAAGTGGTGGTGGGGGATGAGTGTTCAGACCCCATGGCTCTCACTTGTGGGGTGCCTCAGGGTTCTGTCCTCTCCCCCATGCTTTTCAACATCTACATGCAGCCGCTGGGAGAGATCATCAGGGGGTTTGGGCTGGGTGTTCATCAGTATGCGGATGATACCCAGCTCTACCTCTCTTTCAAATCAGAACCAGTGAAGGCGGTGAAGGTCCTGTGTGAGTGTCTGGAGGCGGTGGAGAATGAATGGTGGCTAACAGATTGAGGTTGAATCCTGACAAGACAGAAGTACTGTTTTGGGGGGACAGGAGGCGGGCAGATGTAGAGGACTCCCTGGTCCTGAATGGGGTAACTGTGCCCCTGAAGGACCAGGTGCACAGCCTGGGAGTCATTCTGGATTCACAGCTGTCCATGGAGGCGCAGGTCAATTCTGTGTCCAGGGCAGCTGTCTACCAGCTCAATCTGGTACGCAGGCTGAGACCCTGCCTGTCTGTGGACTGTCACACAAGAGTGGTGCATGCTCTAGTTATCTCCCGCTTGGACTACTGCAATGCGCTCTATGTGGGGCTACCTTTGAAGGTGACCCGGAAACTACAACTAATCCAGAATGCGGCAGCTAGACTGGTGACTGGGAGTGGCTGCCGAGACCACATAACACCGGTCTTGAAAGGCCTACATTGGCTCCCAGTACATTTCCGAGCACAATTCAAAGTGTTGGTGCTGACCTTTAAAGCCCTAAATGGCCTCGGTCCAGTGTACCTGAAGGAGCGTCTCCACCCCCATCGTTCTGCCCGGACACTGAGGTCCAGCACCGAGGGCCTTCTGGCGGGTCCCTCGCTGTGAAAAGCCAAGTTACAGGGAACCAGGCAGAGGGCCTTCTCGGTAGTGGCACCCGCCCTGTAGAACGCCCTCCCACCAGATGTCAAAGAGAAAAACAACTACCAGGCTTTTAGAAGACATCTGAAGGCAACCCTGTTTAGGGAAGCTTTAAATGTTTAATAGACTATTGTATTTTAATATTCTGTTGGAAGCCGCCCAGAGTGGCTGGGGAAACCCAGCCAGATGGGCAGGGTATAAATAATAAATTATTATTATTATTATCTGCTTGAAATGAAATTAATGAAATTTTATTATGAAAAACACCTTTTTCTCCAATGTAAAAAATATGTGTAACTGGTAACTGTTGGTACAGCCTATGGGCTGTCAGTGCTGGTCATTGGGGCAGAACTCTTTCTGACACCTTCATTATGTAATTTTGTCTTTTGCTGAAGACCCACCTTAAGCTGACCCTTTACACATGGGATACGTATTTTAGAATCCACCCTATTCTCACAAATGAAATAATTTTAACTGATTTTCAAATTGTGTTTTATATAATTGTAACTAGCCCTGAGACCTCATGATGAACCACGATTAACGATAACAATAGTAATCATATACCAACAACAACAATAATAATAAAAATCCACTTTATTACAAAGTAGCATACAACATACATATTCTTTGCAGCAATAATTTATATTAAATATCTATTAATTTATGTAACAAAAGTTATATACTGCTTGATTTTAAAAAAAAACCTATAAACAGTTTACAAAAAGTAAAATGAACGTTGAAATAAAAGACAGAGATAGAAACAGGATTGTTTTTTTTAAAAAAAATAATAATAATTAAGATCTATCGTAAGTTTAAAACAGTGGGGATTTTCCATTTTAGAAGCTCCTTATTCAAAACGCAGCTTGTTCCGTGGCTCATGCAACCACAGGACAGGCCAACAAACACAATGCCCAGGAGATTCCCTTCTTCTGGGTTGCATCACTCTTTGTCCCGTGTCACTGGCACCCGAACCAGCTGTTGCTCTTCTTGATGCCGATAAATCTTTTGGTTCCGCTGTCAAACTCATATTGCTCTGAGCCAACGAATAAATAGAAATGTCCTGAAAAGAAAAATGAGGAAGAGTGAAGAACTGTGGATCTAATGGATGATGGAAACTCTCAAAACCCTACAAAACACCTCAGTGTAGAATGAGCCTACAGTGGTACCTCGGGTTAAGTACTTAATTCGTTCCGGAGGTCCGTTCTTAACCTGAAACTGTTCTTAACCTGAAGCACCACTTTAGCTAGTGGGGCCTCCCGTTGCCGCCGGAGCACGATTTCTGTTCTCATCCTGAAGCAAAGTTCTTAACCCGAGGTACTATTTCTGGGTTAGCGGAGTCTGTAACCCGAAGCGTATGTAGCCCGAGGTACCACTGTACTCACTTTTCCAGTAAGACTTGCTTCCTGACTGCTCTTCTCCACCACAATGCTCCATTCCAACCAAACCTCCCCCTGCCAATTTCCCTTTTGCCTCCTTTCCCATGTCAGCCTTGGGCTGTTCTTCATCCTCCTCCAACAATTCCTTCGTACTTCTACAAACCTTGAGTTACCCCTAAGCTTGGAAATACCTCCCTTTGGAACCATACCCAGCAGCAATATTCTCAGTGGCATTCTGTTATTGATTATTTCTTCATCAATGGATACCAACATAAACAGCAAAGTAGCTTCCAATTGTAGGACCAAGAGGATTCAGATCCACTGAGTGGAGTCAGTGCCTGATCAGTTGTTTTTCAAAATAATAATAATAATTTTATAATAATTTATTATTTATACCCCGCCCCTCTGGCTGGGTTTCCCCAGCCACGCTGAGTGGCTTCCAACAAAAGATTAAAAATACATTAAAACATCAGTCATTAAAAACTTCCCTAAACAGGGTGGCCTTCAGATGTCTTCTAAAACTCAGATAGTTGTTTATTTCCTTGACATCTGACAGGAGGGCGTTCCACAGGGCGGGTGCCACTACTGAGAAGGCCCTCTGCCTGGTTCCCTTTAGCTTCACTTCTCGTAGTGAGGGAACTGCCAGAAGGCCCTCAGCGCTGGACCTCAGTGTCTTGGCCGAACGATGGGGGTGGAGACGCTCCTTCAGGTATACTGGGCCAAGGCCATTTAGGGCTTTAAAGGTCAGCACCAATCCTTTGAATTGTGCTCGGAAACGTACTGCCTCTGGGGAACTTTCAAACTCAGTTGCACTAGCACACATGCCAAGCAAGCACTGTAGTCTGCACAGAGTCATCTATGACAGTGGTTCTTAACCTGTGTTTTGTGGACCTCCAGAGGGTCCATGGATGGGCTTCAGGGGATCTGTGAAATGGTCTTAAAAAAGAATGCCCCCCCTTCCATTTATTTCTTGTTACTTTGAAAATTATCTTTGTGGGCAAGAAAACAGTCTCAGACAGTAGGTTTTCCCAGGCCGAATGGGAGACACTAGGGATTGACCCTAGGAACTTTGGTACTCAGCTACCAACTTGGCTCTGAGCTAAGACCTGCTTTTTAGATCCTGACATGGACCACGGCCAGGGGAGCAGTCCTCAGAGGCTCAGGTCATTGAGCAACTTGCCACATTGGCAGATGTGGTCAAGTCCTCCTATGATCTCACCACCACATGGAAGAAAATATTGTTTAATAGGCTAGCACCATGAAGATGGTCATCTGCTCACCATGGTTCAGAAAAGCAGCATCCACCTTGGAGCCAACCTGATGGAAGTCAGCTGATATCTTTCTTGGGTAACCTTTTTCCATGGACTTCTGGGCTTCATCATATCTAAAGAAATGAATGGGTTGAGAATTCATTGCTCTTTGCACCATCAGAAACAGCTACATTGAAAACTCCTTATATGTGAACCTACATATGTAAAGTGAAAGGACTTTCCTTCACTGGGGGTTTTTAAACAAAGGTGTCTTGCATGGTTCTGGGATGTGTGGCAAAGCAGCAAGAACCACGTGATACAGTGGTACCTCGGGTTAAGTACTTAATTCGTTCCTGAGGTCCGTTCTTAACCAGAAACTGTTCTTAACCTGAAGCACCACTTTAGCTAATGGGGCCTCTTGCTGCTGCCACACCTCCAGAGCACGATTTCTGTTCTCATCCTGAAGCAAAGTTCTTAACCCGAGGAACTATTTCTGGGTTAGCGGAGTCTGTAACCTGAAGCGTATGTAACCTGAAGCTTATGTAACCCGAGGTACCACTGTACATTATTTGCATTTCAGTTGCAAAGGATTTAAAGGAGGGTTGGTCCTCCAGGTGTTACTGAGACTACAGCTCTCAGCATCCCTGCCCATTGGCAACTTTTGCTGGGGCTGATGGGTTTTGGAGTCCAGTGGCATCTTGAGGACCACCAGTTCCACATTTCTGAATTAAAGAGCTTCTCAAGGAACTTTCCGGATTGCTCCACGTGAGCTAGGTTAGTTCCCCTTACCTCCAGTAACTGTTTCCAGAGAAGAAATATGTCTTCTTTGAGTTGTGGTCATGAGCAGCTGCATCAATGCTCTTAACACTTTTGGGGAGGCCCAGGCTGTGAATATTCTTGGGGAAGCCTCTCTGTATAATATTTCCCTTGGTGGCCCAATACTTGTGTCCTGTTAAGCAAAAGACAGACAGAAAGAAAAATGATTGAGAGAGCTTTGCATGAAGATGGAACAAATCTGAATGAGAGAGCCCAGGATTCCTGAATGTTGTGAAGCACCCTACGATCTATGGGTATAGGGCAGTATACAAATAATAATAATAATAATAATAATAATAATAATAATAATTCCCTTTGTTATAATCTACTAGCCTTTATTAGCTTACACAAGAATGATCCTGTTTGGAATCATCTTTCCTCTGCATCAAGGCAGGAACCAATACAGGTGGTATTTGTGTACCTTGGTAGAAACCTATTGATTTCCTTAGGCCTTTCCAGGATATTGATACCACTTGACTATAATAATATGTCTCTTTTGGCCTAATGTTGGCTGCTCATCTATTTATTTTGCAAGTTACATATTGAGGTCATATTGACGTAATGTTTCTTTAAAACCTCAAGATGGGTATGTCAAAAATAGCATTGATGTGGTTTTAGTAAATAAATAAATGGCTGGGGCAACCCAGTTATATAAGTGTGGTACAAATAATAATAATATCTGGGACTGATTTCCTAAGAAACATGAAGTAGTTTCACTATCAGCAGCCCAGAATTTTATTTTATTTATATACAGTATTATTGTGCTTATATCCCACCTTTTCCTTCAAAGAGATTTAAAACCCTGACAGTAAAATAGGTTAGAACTGAGTTAGGACTTCAACCTTAGCCTCCCAAGGTCTTAATACGGCATTCTAACAGCCACACTTTGTAGCTTAGCATTTGGTAAGTAACATTCTGTAGCCTCTTACACAGCTATTTCTGCTTAATAACATGACACCCTCCACTCAACTCCTTCTTAGCTTCTTTACTTGCCATTCATCCACACTCACAAGGGACCCAGAACATTTACCTTTGAAGAGAAACACTGTGTCATCAGCCTTAACTTCATACGCGGCGTCTATGCCCTTGCTCAAAGATGGCCAGAAAGCAGAAATAGGAACCTTTTCAACATCTCTTCTCTGGGGATTCTTTCTCCAGAAAAAGCTGGGGGAGACAATGTGAATGTTTAGAAACACAGAATCATAGATTTGTAGAGTTGGAAGGGATCCCGGGGGTCATCTAGTCTGCCCCCTGCAATACAGGAACCTCGATGGTAGATCACCAGCTTAGCATGCAGGAGGTTCCAGATCCAATCCCTGCCATCACCAGATAGGTCTGGGAGAGTTGCCCAGTCTCAAACCCAGGAAAGCTTTTACTCAGCAGTGTAGACAATACTGAACTAGGTCACCCAGTGGTCTGACTCAGTATAAGGTGGTTTTCTCTGTTTATTACACATATTTGTAACAAGCTCTACAAATATATAAAATTCACTGGGCTACTGACAGGTCAACAATTTTTTTAATTGTTATTTTGAAATCATTTTTATTTGATTTTACAAATATAAAATTATATATTTTTTAAAAATCCAAATATATATCCATAAACAGAGATTACTCCGAATTTCGGGACCCCTCCCCCATGGGGTCCCGTGTTAAACATTTAAAACTGCACATTCTTCCAAACTCTAAGTGTTATATCAATCCATATTATCCATGGTAACTGTTATACTACAAGTGAAATAAAAATCCTGTCAATGTTTCCATCTGTTTGCAGTGGTCTCCTAGATAACTTATCATTCCCCCCCCCCCATTCTTTCATAAAGTTTTTATCCTCTTGGTTTCTGAGTTTTCCGGTCAGTTTTGTCATTTCGGCATAGACTTTTTATGTACGGAACAACAGCCGCCCGGATGCTAGTAGCCCGGAGATGGAGAGAAGACAAGGAATGGCAAACCAAGATGACAGGTCAACAATTAAACCCATCTGAAGTTGCAGTAAAGTCCAACAAACTGAAAGGGAACATCCAGATATCATCTTCCAGTGCTTTGGGTTGAAATGCAGCTGGAGAGTTTGGGCATGACTTTGAATTAGAAATGAAAGATGTCAGTGCTTTGTAGGTAACTTAACCCTGACCATTAGTTCCAGTCATGGCCGACTCTGGGGTTGCGGCGCTCATCTCGCTTTATTGGCCGAGGGAGCCGGCATACAGCTTCCGGGTCATGTGGCCAGCATGACTAAGCCGCTTCTGGCGAACCAGAGCAGCACACGGAAACGCCGTTTACCTTCCCGCAAGATTGGTACCTATTTATCTACTTGCACTTTGATGTGCTTTTGAACTGCTAGGTTGGCAGGAGCAGGGACCGACGAATAGGAGCTCACCCCGTTGCGGAGATTCGAACCGCCGACCTTCTGATCGGCAAGTACTAGGCTCTGTGGTTTAACCCACAACGCCACCAGCGTCCCTTGTAGGTAACTTACTTGTTTTTAAAGAACATGGTTTCCCCTCGGAGAGAGCAAACAGCATCAAAAGCCAGGCGAGGGTCACACAAGTCTGTGGATGGTGCCTCTGTTGCTGGCTCTGGGTTTCCTGATGAACTGTCATCACCATCACCATTCTCACCACCTTCAGGGGGTCCTTGAAAAGGGGTTAAAGAGAAGAACTGAAGAACAAGCAAGATTTGCAAGATGCAGCTCAGAGCAAGAGGCTTCACTGGATGATGGCCAAACCCAATAATGGATGAAATAACAGGTTGGCTCCGCCAATTCACATCAGGTGGTGAGCTGAACTAGAATCCTAAACTAAGGAAATTCACAGAAGGAGAGTTCCCAATCCCTTCTCTTGCCCAGCCACCGGTGCCCCTGAAAAGCCTCTCTTGAGGTTTAAAGGGCCTTCCTAAAAATAAATAAACGAGAAAGAGCATGTGGGGGGTGCTGGGAGGAAGAGGAGGAATTGTCCTCAGACTCTAAGTTACTTTAAAGAATTTCATGTCAAGTTTCCTGCCACTGTCTTCCACAGTCTCTCCATACCATACTGTTCAGAAGGCCACTCTCCAGAGTTGCTTCTGCTGGAACAGCTGGCAGGAGGAAGCGATGGGCAATTTCCCTTCTGGGAATGTCCTTAGACTAAGGGTTCAGGCCAGTGCTCTTCTTGCATGGAATAAATCCACACAATCATCTGGGAGTCTGTACTTACCATAAAGGGACTGGATGCCTTCAATGTCATCTCGGTGAAGCCTGAAGTTTTGCGGGTCCGTAGCTTGATAAGTTGGAAACATCAGAGCCCCCCAAATGCCAGAATGCCTGAGACCCAGTGAGTGACCAAACTCATGAGCAGCAACAAGGAAAAGGTTGACTCCTAAAAGAAAACAGAAGATTGTGAGTACTTGTGAAGCTCACCTGGGTATAAGATAGGGAAATATATATCACTCGGGGGACTTTAAGGATGTGATTTTGGCAAATTCCACTAGGGAATGACCCAGTTCAACCTCTTCTGGTTTAATGTGTGGCAGAATGTATCTAGCCAGCAGATTTTGTGTTTCTAATGTGATGCCTTTCTGCATTTTAAATTGTGTATTATTGAGAGGTAATATGTTCTGCAACATATATTTAGGGGTAAATGACCCCTGGACTGTTAAGTCCAGTCAAAGACGACTATGGGGTTTTGGTGCTCATCTCGCTTTCAGACCCAGGGAGCTGGTGTTTGTTCACAGACAGCTTTCCGGGTCATGTGGCCAGCATGACTAAACCGCTACTGGCGCATTCAAATATATGCATTTAAGTGTGTGTGTGTGTGTGTGTGTGTGTGTGTGTGTGTATTTGTAGCTTTAATAATTTTTGAGAAGAATAGAAATATTGGATGGAACAGCCCCATGAGCGAACAAATGTGTAAGTGACATGGACCAGAATACATTTCTCCATCCTTACAGATTAGGCTTCTGAAGAAAAAGTTCCTATCAGACATGGTTTTTGAAGGAATAAATGCCATGAACACCAGAAGAGTCCTGCTAGATAAGTACCCAAGACCCATCTAAACTCACATGCTGTGCTCACAGTGGCAGTGGTGACTGTCACTCATTGGGACTGGTAAAGTGGGAGTCAGAAGGGCAAGCAGCAGGCACGGCCGGCGCCAATGACAGTCAGAGCTCACTAATTCCAGGGTTGTCCCCATCCACCTTCCTGCTGAGTTCTGCAAGGGCACTAAGATTAAGGAGCAAGAAGCTGAAAGGCAGGGCCACCTGTCAGAATGGTTGCAAGTCAAAAGGAAGGAAGGTTGGCCCCGAAGGAGGCAGCACTCCATTTGTCCTAATGGACCAGCCTCCAGAAGCCTCAAACATGATCTGAGAGCAACAGTGCCTTTTCCACTTGCAATTCTTAGCAACTGCTATTAGAGTCATGAAGTTGGGATGCACTAGAAGCCATTGATAGGCTTATCCCCCATGAATTTGTCTAATCCCCTTTAAGCCACCGACACTGGGGGCCATTGCAGCATCTTGTAGTAGTGACTCCCATAGTTTGGCCATCTGAAGACAGGTGACTTTTGTATGTCAGAAACATAGAGGATGGCCCCTAAACACAAACCATATTTTTCCATGTATAAGACGATGCTTTTTGTTTTAAAAAATCAGGCAAAAAATGGGTGTTGTCTTATACACAGATAGTGAATGCAGAGGGGGGACGTGCGATTAATGGCGACAGCAAGCAGGAGATTGGCAGCGGCGATTGGGTGGGTGATTGGTGGCTGCGGCAAGGCCTGCTGGTGATTGGCTGTGGCAAGCTGGGCAGGTGATTGGCGGCTGCGGCAAGTGGGCGGGTGGGCTGTTGGTGGCGGCAAGAGGGCAGACAATTGGCGGCTGCGGAGAGGTGTGTGATTGGCAGTGGCTGTGGCAAGCAATTGGCAGTGGCGGGCAGGCGGGTGAGAGATTGGTGGAAGTGACCACCCCCCAAAAAAGCTAAACAACTTAATTTCTTAATTTTGGGTTAAAAAAATAGGGGTCGTCTTATACATGGGGGCATCTTATACACAGAAAAATACGGTAAGCATTTTTATACCCTAGGATTAGAATGGTATCCGTGTCTCACTACTTTGCAGTATATGTAACTAAGAGTCACACTGAAAGCCTTTACAAGCAAGTGTACAGCTGAATATATTGAGACAAAAGTAAACAAATTACCTGTTAAATCCCGCACCCAGGATTCATCCTCATCGAAATGGGCATTTCCACCGTAAGCAGGTGAAAATGCATGAGCCAATTGCCCACCTGGTCCATCGAATGGGATATAGTCACCATGAGCTTTAAAAATAAATAAATCAAAGAACATGTGGATAAGTCGCCCGGCCAGGAACCTGAGTAAAACTACCTATATCTATTTGTGTGTGGTTTACTTACATCTAGCAGCAAATGAGATCTCAATATCTGCAGGTTTCCCATAAACCCTGGTGAAGGTGAGGGGAGTCACATCACTCCAAACTTTCCAAGCTCTCTCGATGGCGACATCCACATCAGCGCGGTCCATGTCTGGCGTGTAATTCAGAATGCTGTGAAACACAGAGTTGTAAAGAAAATGTACGTATGAAAGAAATGGCACCACACAGCTTTCGAAGTCTCTGGTGAAAGAGAGACAGCTTTCTACATCTCAGCACATCTGACACAAAATCCATGCTCCTTGTATTTCTAGGTGCATCAAAGCGATGAAATGATGAGCAGGCTTTTATGCTTCTTGCAAACTATGAACTACAGTGGTACATTGGTTCTCAAACTTAATCCCTTCCAGAAGTCTGTTCCCAAACCAAAGCGTTCCAAAACCAAGGAGTGCTTTCCTCATAGAAAGTAATGCAAAATGGATTAATCCATTCCAGACTTTTAAGAACAACCCCTAAAACAGCAATTTAACATGAATTTTACTATCTAACGAGACCATTGATCCATAAAATGAACGCAATAATCAATGTACTGTAGTATAAAATAAATAAGACAGTATTGTAGTTGATTAAATTTTTTAATTTTTTTTTCTTACCCACACTGATGATAGTCATTGTTTGGATGGGGGGCTTTTATCCATTTCCACAGTCACACAACCAATCAATCAATCAATCAATCAGTAGCTGAACTGGGTTCCACACAGTCACAAAAAACAAATTAACCAAAAAAGCTTCAAAAATAAAACAGCAAATTAAGTAGCAAAAACAAAACCGCCAAACTTAATCCATTCCAGAAGTCCATTTGACTTCCAAAATGTTCGAAAACCAAGGCACAGCTTCTGATTGGTGCAGGTGCCCTGGAAACAATAGCTGACATTCAATGTTCAACTTCCAAAAAACGTTTGAAAACTGGAACACATACTTCCGGGTTTTTGGCATTTGAGAACCAAGGTGTTTGAGTTTAAAAGGCATTTGAGAACCAAGGGAGCACTGTAATTAATTGTGTCCCAACTCTTCATTATGCAGGAAGATCAATCATGATGAACTAGACAACTTTGAGGAAAGACCATTACTGTCCTTACTGAGGAATGCCAACATTTCTAGCATCTTCCAATGGCATCTTCAAATCAGTTAAGTGTACTGAAACCTTACCTATATGTCAGTTTTGTTTTCTTCCATGCTGGATCCCCAGGAAAGGTGCTGTATTCTGCTACATCAGGAACCCCACACCTGGGCTTCCTCATTAAAGCCAAAGTGTTTGAATCCAATCTGCCTGTCACTTTCAACCCAAAGCGTTCCTGCATCAGCCGTATTTTGTCAGCAGGAATATCGTCACTTCCTTTGCTTCTTATGACAGGCGTCGATGCGGAATCAGGATAGTAGTTTTCTATGTATTTCTGATTGGAAGAAAAGATATATTTGATTGCTTATAAAACTATTTTCACATATATCCATTCGCATTTTAAAATTAGCCATTCATACTTTCTGCCTTCATTCGCAAAGAAGAAGGTCATTCACCATTGCACCCATGTTACCGACAAAGGAACTGAAGCTCACAGATATTAACAATGCCTCCTAGGCATGTCCTCCTCAGCTGAATGGAAGTTGCTCTAAGGTGTATTTATGCATGGAGAATTAACCCATCCAGCAGCTCTGAGGAGGAGAGGAGTGAATCTACATTTCCCCAGGCTATAAGCATCACATTGAATTCCGCTTTGCACAAGGCATTTAGCAACTGTCTACTTTTTTTTGCTAGTCAATCTAGCAGCAGAATTCTGCTTCCCCTCTGTGCTACCATCAACCATTACCTTGGCAAAATCCAGGTCCGCTTCTGCAACTTGATCAGCTTCCTGGGTTAAGGGCAAAGCACAAGAAAGTGCTCCATAGAGCGCAATCGCCAGTAGGAAGCTCTTCATTGTCTCTTTCGCTTCGGCGTCCCAGCCTTGGAGCCTTAGAACACTTCGGTCCCTCTGTCAATGGATCTGCCTGTGTGCTCCCAATTGACCTCTATATATACTCCGTGTTTGTTCTATAAAATCAACAGAAGCATGACTCACAACATTATAACATCCGTTGACTAGCCAAACACAGAAAATGCTCCTTTTAGCAGTGTGACACACAGCAGGAGCTGCCAAGTGTGAAAACCCTGATTGGGCAATTACTATGAAGGTGGCTGAGATTCGTCAAGTGGGACTTTTTCACCAAAGGGAGGGGGAATAGTTCTTTTTAAAAGATAAACAAAATATAAGGACAAGCCCTTCCACGACTCAAATACTATGCTTATTTGTATTATCAATCCTCCCTAGACATTCAGTTGCATTCAACTAAGTCCTACTCAGAATAGACCCACTGAAATTAAGGAATTAGTCAGATCAATGGATCCATCAATAGATCCACTCTGAGCATAACTAGGATTGAATACCACCCATCCATTTGCTATTTAGTATTTGACAGGCTCACATTTGACCGACAGACTGAATTCTTATGATCTATATAAATTAGAAATCATTAGAGCAATTGTATGAAGAACTGAACAAAACATTAATTTGTAAATATAAGATATGCTGAAATAAATAACACAGGCCTTTCCGTTGCAGCAGGTTTTGGAAATTTTAGACAATCTTCTTAGGAAACAAGCAGAGATGGTTAGAGTAATTTTGACACTGACCCATGGATCTGAAGGCCAAAGATGTGGCTTTGTTTACCATTTTCTAGTACAGAACAGCATTTGCCGTTTACCACAATAAGACACCTGGTTCACCTGAGGAAGGCAAGAAACTTTAGGTGTGCTTTGTAAATGAGCCAATTCCTCCTTCATTCCCCCCTTTTACCAGTAAGTAACAGAGTAGGTTGGTGGCGAGAGGTCAGGCTAAATCAGTTGCATTATGTGGAAGTTGTAAATATTCGTTTCCCATTGAAATTAATGGACCTCAGCATACATCATCTCACTTTCACATGGGTTTCAATGGGACTGAATTCCAATTGACTTGTTGATGTTGTTACAATTATATCCCAGCTTTTCTCCAAAGAGCTCAAGGTGGCATACATGATTCTGCCCCTCTGCATATTATCCTCGCAACAACCTAGGTTAGACTGAGGAACTGTGACTAGTGTTAGAATGCATATACAACACATATAAACGCCTTTTCTTTACCAATCTAGCTGAGTCCCAAGTAAGCTTCATGTGGTGATTTGACTCCTCGTCCAACAACCTAACTGTGGCACAACACTGTCTCTCATGGTCTGGAGGCAACCCACTATGGTTTCATGAAAAGAATACTCAGTTGTCTTGAAAGGTATTATAGACAGTCATGACATAGTTTGGAGGCAAATATTTTCTTTGCTTTTGGACTCTATCACTTCACACACATACACTTTAATCTTTGGCATAATTTTATTCATCCATACCATGTCGCCACAAATATTTCCTGATAAGAGTGCTGCTCCAACCCATTTATAATTTTGGCTGCTTTCCATGAACTCATTCTGTGGAATATGTTATGGTGTACTTTGCCCTCAGGCTGTTTCTGGAGAACTTTCACGGAGAGCCTCATGTCCAGCAATCCAGTAACCTGAATGTGCCCATCCCAAGGTTGAAAAGGCTTTGGCAACACCCACGGTTGCACTTTGTAAAGAGTGTCAGGAGAGGATCTGACTAATTCCAGACACAGGCAGTATAGAAACTTCCGACTGGGAGATAAGAACCCAAGAAAGAGCTGAACTAAATCAGGTCAAACATCTCTCTAGAAGAGCATCCTGTTCTCACAGTCACCAAACAGATGCCTATGGGAAACCGGCAAGCGGGACCTGAGCATAGCAGCTGTCTGTGATTCCCAGCTAGTCTCCCTACACATGTCCTTCCAAACATCACTGTAGAAAGATTGTGTAGCAAAGATGAATCGGTAAAAAGAAAAGTATAAGGACTCGGATCCAGCTAGAAGCCCCTTAATGCCAAATTCATGAAGATGAGAAAATGGGGAAGGGCATGCGCTCTGCACATGCTCAGATGAAGACTTAAGAAGAAAAATACTTCCTGCATTCTAGAGCTGAGCCTTGGGTCAAATTAGGCCCCCTTATGAGGTGTGTCTGTGTGCCTCTGTGTGTGTTTACCTTGTGAAATAATGGAGAACCAATTGGGACAGTCCACTAATGCAACAGCCATTATACTAGCCGGAGTTTTTCTCCTAGTGTGGCAAAACAGCCAAATCCATTGGACAGCTTGGACCAGTGTAAACATCTGTACTGTTTTGTACTCTTCCACTACTTCCTCTTGTGCCACCGCTGGCACAATGGAAGTAGTTTGCACAACAACGCCAACTCTCTTGCTTTAGGCACTTGCTTGACATTGGACCTCGTCGGTGCTATTTTTCTAGAAAAAGAGTTGCCGGAACTCACCATGAACACCTCCCTTGTTCTCTTATAATGGCAATGGCTCCCACCTGAGAGGTGCCAGAACTGAGTTCCAGCTGAGACAAAGCTCTGGATCTCGCCCTTTGTTTTTGTCTAGAAGGGTACAAGCTGAAGCCTATCAAATGTAATTTACCCCCCCCCCAATAAATAATGTACAATTGGCAAGCCTTTCAAGCAGCAGTCCAAGAGGACACCAGAAGTGCGTGCCCACACTCTACACATCCATTTCGTACATGAAAAGGTCACCTAAAGATGACAACATACTCATGAAGAGGCACACACAAATACACACATAGAGCCTCGCAGTTTACAGTCAGCATAGTTGTGGCCGCCTGCAGCATTTCACAGATGGCAGCATGTAAACACAGGCCTCTTCATGCAGGAACTGACTCAGAGGAACCCCTTTCTGACTGCTCAGGAGGCTCGGATAGGGCCAGAAATCCCCTCACGCCTCTTCCTGGCACACCTGTGGTGCCAAGGAGGGAGTCGGCGAGGGAGCAGGTGAGGCAGTTTGCAAGGTGTGGAGGACTGGAAAACGCAGCCTTGACTCTTCCTCACACACACCCCTTCAGAAGCTGGCAATCTTAATCTGCCGGTAGTCATGTAAAGAAAGGTACAGAGAGAGGTACCTTACTAAGACAACGGAAATAAGTACTGAAGCACACTATCTCACCACATTCAACAGCGCCTTGGAAGTTGGGTGCTTCTCCCTGAAATTCCTTAAAGTAACTAAAGAAATTCAAGTCTATTTCTCTCCCTTAAAGACTTGAGGAACGGTTGAAGGAGCTGGGTGTGTTTAGTCTGCAAAAGAGGATGAGAGGAGATACGATAGCCATCATAGGAGCCACCTCCTAGGGGCGAAGGGGTCTTTGCCCCACCACTAAAAAATTGAGGGGGCCGGGGCATTGCCATTCAAATGGTGTGCATGCACTGCATCATGTGATTGATTATGTGGGGTGGGACTTACCTGTCCACCCCCCTGCCAATATTTTATTCAAGTTGGCACCCCAATAGCCATCTTCAAATATCTCAAGGGCTGTCACATGGAAGAGAAACCAGCTTGTTTTCTCCTGCTCTGGAGGGTAGGACTCGAACCAACGGCTTCAAGTTACAAAAAAGGAGATGCCGACTAAACATCAGGAAGAATGTTCTGACAGTAAGAGCCGTTTGACACTGGAAGGGACTCCCTCAGGAGGTTGTGGGCTCTCCTTCCTTGGAGCTTTTTAAGCAGAGGTTGGATGGCCATCTGTCATGGATGCTCTAGCTGAGATTCCTGCATTGCAGGGGGTTGGACTAGATGACCCTTGGGGTCCCTTCCAACTTTACAATTATATGGTTCTATAATTCTATAACTTTTAACTGTGTGGGGACACTTTTTTCAGATCAACCCTTCAGGGTCTGGGCTTCAAAGAAGCAGGCACCAAGCCCTTGCTTTTAGCCTAAACTCTGCCCTCTACCCAGCAGAGAGTTGGTGCCTCTGCCCTTTTCACAGCTGTTGGTGTTCAGCCCTGCCAAGTTTGTGGGAAATGGGGACCTTTCTCACAAAGCATGTTCTCCTTCATGGAGAGCACGTGTTGCGGTGGGGTCTAACAAGACACCTCACTGTTACTGGGCGGTAAAAGGTAGTTGGCCACCTTTGCGATTGGGCTCCTCTTGTCGTTGGGGAGAATTTGATGTTGCCATTTTCTGATTGAGAGCCAAGAAGGCTTTTATTCCCTGCGCGCAACATTGAGCTTCCTCTTTTCACTGCACACATCGGATCACCAGCCCACCCTCCCTATATTTAGGGTTGTTCACATTGACCTTGCTATGCCTGTCATAGGGTCGTCTGCTTTTGGAGCAGGAGCCCGGTAGGAATTTTGTCCATTTGGCTGATTGGCTGGTGCCATTTGGTTTTTGCCTATTGTGTAGCAAATTGTCGCAACTTGTAAGGCTGCGGTTAGGGATTGGTTTTATGAATTGGTTGGTGGAGGGGCATGGATTGGCTGTGCCTGCCCCTCCAATGCTGCTGCTGCAAGGGTATTCCGTTAAAGGAATCCAGGGGCTCACCGTGCTTTCGTCCAAACCCCTGTCAAGGGGCTAGGGCCATGCAAGAGCCCCTGGGAGCATTTGGGGAGAGGTGAGGGCATGGTACCCAGCTCCATCTTTCTCCCCAAAATGTTTTCCCTTTCTGACTTCGTGGGCATGCGAATGTCAGTCTGTCCCCATGCGGGGTCAGATAGTCGCAACCAATGCCTAAACAACCACTCACATTTTTTGTATTTTAATAAAGTTGTGGCCAAAATTATGCCAAAAGCCTTAAACAAAAATTCTGTGTGAATTGTGTTTTATTGGGGTGGCTTGGGGACCTCGACACGCAACAGGAGCTGAATGCAACACCAGCCTCCCCTCCTGCAGTTAGCGACTGGTATTTAGAATCATATTGCTTCTAGCAATGGAGATAGAATATAGGCCATTGTGGGCGATTCCCGCCCCCCCACCAGATGGAATAAATAAAGACGAAGGACACCAAGATTTTAGGTTAATGGGCTAAAAAAGGCCACAACTTTATTGGTTACTGGTAAGAGCGGTATTAGGGATGCGGGTGGCGCTGTGGGTAAAACCTCAGCGCCTAGGGCTTGCCGATCGCATGGTCGAATTGCCGATCCCCGCGGCGGGGTGAGCTCCCGTCTTTCGGTCCCAGCTCCTGCCCACCTAGCAGTTCAAAAGCACCCCTAAGTGCAAGTAGATAAATAGGTACCGCTTTATAGCGGGAAGGTAAACGGCGTTTCCGTGTGCTGCGCTGGTGCTGGCTCGCCAGAGCAGCTTTGTCATGCTGGCCACGTGACCCGGAAGTGTCTCCAGACAGCGCTGGCCCCCGGCCTCTAGAGTGAGATGGGCGCACAACCCTAGAGTCGGACACGACTGGCCCGTACGGTACCTTTACCTTTACCTTTACCTTAAGAGCGGTATTGGCTTTAGGCATTGGCCCTATCAGACTATCCAGTATGAGAACCGGAAAGGGTTAACTCCAGCAGGGGGAGCCCCTGAGATGCACATCCCTAGACACTCCCCGAGGGGTCATCGCTCGGGGGTGCACTTTAGGCCCTAGCCTCCAT